CACTTTTAGATGCTTCAAACATCTTTTCTATAAGCTGACCGGGAATTATAATTGTCAAAGCGGCACAGTAATCGTTGTAATAGTCGCTTGAAACCTCTGCTCTACTCTGATACCTGTAATAAAAACTAATACGTTAACAGTGTTAATTATTACATAAGTCTGGTCTTTTTGAGAACTGTCTAACAGCAGAGGATAAACGTTAACAAAACTGAAGACGCTTGCTGTAGGTTTTTTCTTTCTTGTGTCTTCAAAACTATTCAAAATTTTCTTCATGCTTTTGTACTGTGAAATTGTATTCACACATAGTCTCACCATTTATGTTTTGGATCACGAACTACTCTTGCGTGATAATGAACGCAACAAAATATTGTACGCTCAAAATCTTTTTTTAGGTTTCCAGCATCTGAGTAAAGTTTCAGCGTTTTTATTACCTCCCAAAGATTTATTATTACGTCATCATCTGTACTGAGCAAGTATTTCAAGTCGTTACAGTACTCTTTCACAAATCTTACCATCATAATTGCCTAAAAAGACACTTCTGCAGCCTTTGTAAATTCTGTTAAAACCTTCATTACAACTATTGTTGCTGCTTTGAATTTGTAGCTGTCATTGCGAACAATTATTGGCCGTATGGAGCTTTGAATAGTCACGAATATTTCACAAGAGATTCAAGAACGAATTGGAGAGTTTGACATGCAGTTTGAGTACGTCACCAGCAGAGTAAAAAAGTAACGTACAAAATGTAAACTTTTGTTTATAAAACTTTGATGATTAGTTTTTACCTTTCACGACCTACCTTTTTTTACTACAACTTATTATCATCTTACCTTCCAGGTTAAGTTATAGTATGAATCAAGGAAATCTTGTCGAATAATATCATGGTGAAGCAGAGATTCTTTTTTCACTGCTTTATCGACTGATTGATTTGGAGAAGCTCCAAGAGTGAAGAGAAGCCGAACACCCAACTAAAATTGTCTCATTACGTTTGATGAATCTTACGTTGATGCACTCAACGCTATTTTCAGTAAGACCAATTTATTCTGCTAAACTTCTGTTATTTTAGGCTGAAAATTAAAATGCTGGTGATCTCAGAGACGCTTTCGCTGTACTTTTATTGCTTTTTTTACGATGC